GTAGTAAATGCAGTTACATGATCACGTGGATCTGTTGTGCCATCATATTTCGAGATGTCAGGCATTTTGAACTTTTTAGGGATTGGAAGGGGAGCAGCACTTGGTTTCCAAGGTTGTTGCGAGTATTTATCCACATCCACTCCTTTGATTACAGGGGGAACTCCAGGGATTTGCTCAATGCGCTCATTTTGTTCCTTAAGCTGTTTCTGCAAAATTAGTACTAAATTTTGCAAATGAGAATTATTTGAATTACCTTGTTCTCCTTCCTGTGGTTCACTGGGGGTTCCTCCATTTCCAGAATTAACAATGCCAGAACGAGGATTCTCCAATGTATTGTTATTAGGCGTAGGTGTGGGTGGTGCAACAGGTAATCAACTAACTAGAGCTTGAAGAGCTTTGCTAACCCGTGCATCAATTACTTTTTGTAAAGCTTCATCTGGCCCTTCAAAATGTTCAGATTGCTCTTGTTCATCAGCACAAGATTCAAGAGCAGGAGTACCTTCACGAGATTGACGTGGTGAATTTTGAAGGAAACGAACCACGTTAATATTTTGTAAATCTCCTTGATTCTGATGGATTTAATTTTCATCACCGTTATTGTTATTGTTGTTGTTTGACATGATGATAACAACAGATAAAATGTAACTTAAAAAAAATAGATTATCAGATTCCCGGTAACGGAACCAATTTGTTTAACCAAAAAACTGAATATTTGGTTAAAGCTAGAAATTAAGAGAGAAATCGGGTTACTGATAATCAAGAAATGAGAGACTTTGAGAACAACAATAAAGCAATGAATAAGTATATATTTCAGTATAATCTCAATGATATTTCGTGTCCTACAGATGTTGAGACCTTCCCCTTTTATAGTTAATTCTAGGAGAAAGTGTAATGCCTTTGTCTTAATGAGGCAATTATGAGCAATAAATGACATTAAAAGAAATGTTACTCAATCATTCCTATTAAATACAAATTCTCTCAACGTATTTGGCATTTAATGCTGAATTTGGACTCCTTTACGCTATCAGATTCATTTCTTCAATTCCTTCCGATCTTCGAGCTTTAAATGACTCGAACAGGTACGAGTCTCATTTCATTTGAATAATAGCTCGTGCCTTTAAGTATCTTCTCTCCCGAATCTGTTGTTGCTCGTGCCTTCTAACTGATTACCACGCTTTGACTATTTGACCGGTCCACGTTTCATGACACGTCATCTTATATAAATTCAGTTTTTTCCCAATACAAACATGAAAACTTAATATTAGAACTTGGGTGGGGTAAAAAATCACGCATGTAAAGGAAGATCTTAGGCGACGTTGAGCTTTCGTTGAGGAAATCACCCATTGTTATTTACCAAAGTATTGGAAAACTAATATGTTAACACAGTGATAGGTAAAATATTTTGTGAGAGTTTAACTTGTTAAGAAAATTTTAGAGGCGTGTCAGTTTCAAAGCTTGGTCATAATTAACGCATTATAAAAACTTTATAAATTAATATATTAGCGGCTGACGACTGATTATATTTAATCTACATTCACCATCACCAAGTGGTCAAATTAAGGCAATGTACAATTGATCAATCTAAATCAGAGAGAAAATCTCTGTCCACAAATTAACCAAATCAAAGTCCTAACTACCAATCGACTTTTCCTTTCTAAGTCCTGTTCATATCTGAATTTATTTTTTTCAACCAGCTCTTTAAATGTATAGAAATTCCTTAGCGCATTTAAATATTTTTAAGAAGAAATCAAGTAAAGAACTATAGGAAACAAAGGGAAATTTAAATTTTGCGAAAAGAGGAAAGGGATTTTTTCCTATCTATACCATATATGAAACCTTATTACCAAAAATGTTCATAATTTGTTAATTACCCGCCCAGTCCACACTTTTACTACAATTTATATACCAATCCATAATTAGGCAGATTCTGCCATTTAAAACGCGCTAAAAAGAAGGCACGAAATCTGCGTTTGATTCTTTCCACATTAAATTCGAATTTTGAAACTTAAAGAGATCTCATTGCTGCGTAATTCTCTCATTCACTACAATTCTAAAACAACGCAAGCTTCAGGAGCTCCAGTACTCAATTTGCTTTTACAAATTCTATAACGCAATACAAATTGTAGAATTCAAAATTGTTCTTCATCGACCTCAGTACTCAAATTGTCGAACCTATATCTGTTCTTCATCTCTTTCACACCATAATCAATATTTTGTGGTGCAAAGTAATGGCCATTCTGCAGAAAATAAAAAATTTATTGAACATTAGCAGTTTGCATAAAAAAGAAGCAATAATCTACGTATAACTACATGATAACTACAAAATATAACTAAAAGAAGAACAGCCTACCCACACCTATAACTACAAAACAATACAGGACATCTACACATGTAAACATTATCTCAAAACAATAAGAAGAAAAGGGTAACCACAGCTCTATAACTACAAAAATATAACAGTTAGTTCAAGTAACTCACAAAATGTAGATTAATTGTAGTTAGTATGAAGGTAAATATAGCAGCATACAAAAGGTGAAAAATATACCTTATCTAAAATTTACCCAGCAACTACAAAATAACTACATTTATGCACTGTCTAAAAATCACAATTACAATTAACCTTCAAAATTGAGACAAACAATCTACAAAATTTGGACAATTCCACATTTTACCAAAAAACACTTGAACAACAGATTTTTACAACCAAAATCACACTAAAAAACTGTAAAGAAAAATAATTAGTGTTTATTTTGACGAAGAAGGAGAGACCTTGGATTTTTTCACAGATGGAATTTTAGGGGAATCTTCAACAAAATCATCATCTACACACAACTCCTAAATTAACTGAAGGTAAAACGTGGGGGGTGTGTGGGGGGTGGGAGGAGAGAGAGGCGGGTAAACGAAAATGGGAGAATATACGCTCCTAAATTAACGCCTAATATAAATGAAGCATTAATTGTACCCTCAATTTGAATTATGGTATACAAATGGTAATTTGGTATGCTGAAATGTAATTAACACAATCCTTAAACATTGAGGGTAATAAGGTTTCATATATGGTATACGAAGGTAAAAATCCCAAAAGGAAATAGATAAAGAACCAGTGGGCGCCATTTGGTGGCATGGATTGGGTCATTTGTTACTTTGATTTCTATATTTCCAGTTTTATAAGCCCAACTCCTTGGAGCAATGGCAGCCCAAATATCTTCGAACAGTTCAAATTCGGATCTCAAACCCGATTCATTCCGACCCGCCAATTCCACCCATTTTATTCCCTCCCATCAGTTCTTCAACGAAATAGAAGTGTATGTTCCTCATTTTTCTCTAATCCCCTTTATCGATGAAACTAATCACTGAAGGAAGCTGGAAAGAAACTTAATTGTTTTTTCAGTTCTCAGTTATTATCCATCACTCTTGCTAATACATTTTTATTTTTTATTTTTTTGTCCTACAGATAAGTCAGGTAAAAAATTATTGTTTTTTTTGTTCCTAATTTTCTAGTTTGCCTCTTAAGAACCCTTGTTAGTTATTAGAGTCGCTGTTGTAGATATTTGGCAAGATTTGATTTTTAGGACTGCTGTGTTAGAATGGGAGCTTCTCTACAAATTGAGTTCGTCAACTGCAACCTTTTGCTAAAGGGAATTAACTCAACCCGCTTATCGAAAAAGGTTGGAGTGAGAAACTTTTTTTTATTTTTTTTGCTTTGCCTTTTTGGTGCAGATTTTTATTAAGTGCCTAAGGTTTGGTTCTACTATGATTGCAGTTAAATATAACCTCTGCCATTAAACACTCCCAGAAGCAGGAAGAGCTATCTCTCACTATGTCTCATGTTGCTGATCAGAAGTAAGTAACAATTTAACATTACCCCATTAACACATTTGTTTGAAAACAGAATTATATGAGTTATATTTGATAGTGGATTACTCCTTTTCTTGAAGTAGTTGGGTATTTTCTATAGAGTATTATCTCCGGTTGAATTTCATGTTAAATGTTTTTTTTTCTTCTCTAAATTTTTTATTCTTTAATTATTATGGACGTGGATGCAGGAAAGTTCAAAAGGCTGGAAAAGTAGAACATCACTTATGGAAGAAAAGAGAATCTGCTGGATCTGGGCAAAAAGCGCTCAATCTTGTTCGGCTTGTAAGTTTTGTCAAATTATTCTAGCTTATTATTATAGTACCATGCTGAAAGGTATATTTTCTCTTATACCTGAAGTAGACGTATTTTTTACGTTTCTTCTGTTTTCTTTTTTATCTGTAAATGGATAGATTTCTGGACTTCCAAATGAGAAAGAGTCTGTTTATCGTGCATTAGATAAATGGATTGCATGGGAGACAGAGTTTCCGTTGATTGCAGCTGCTAAGGCTCTAAGAATCTTAAGGCAACAGCGGATGTGGAAACGAGTAATTCAAGTACGACGCATGAGAACTTTATTTATTACTTTGAACATGGGCAGTGGCCTATATTTGATATCATCTCGCCTTGACAAATTTTGAAGTTCTGTAGTAATAAATCTGTTATCTTTCAACATGCTATGACGTTAGAAGCCTTGTCTTAGCTCCATAAGTATCACTCAACTTCTTATTGAATTGACTAAGAAAAATTTGCTCTGTTTCAGTTTCTTTCTTTTACCATTTCCTCCTGAATTTGCAAAACGGAGAATTCTGATTCTGTTGCATTTCTTTTCTTAGTTCTGTGGAAATGCTAGGGGGGACTTTCTTGTGGTAGTAATTGCGAATGAGCAAGGGGGGGGGGGGTGGGGGGGGGGGGGGGGGGGGGGGGGGGGGGGGGGGGGGGGCAACTAAAGAGGTAGCGAGACTGACCGCAATTTCAGGAAGTTATCTCTTGTCATTACAAAATCAACTTCAACTCTATCTGCTGTCACCACGATGTAGTTGTGGTTTATAACCAATTCTACAAGTTTTATTCGAATGTATTGACTACCGGCTACGTTGCAGTAGAAATTGAACTTGATGATACCGAGATGTAGTTTACCTCCTCTCCATTGTCAGGGCATATTGAATCGCTTGGTAAAAATGAGAAGTTCGTGTATTTTGAGTATATGTGAGTCTAAATTGAGATCATGGCAACTAGTTTGAGTGGGCAGTGAAGTCTTTCAGAATGCCCTTTTTTTCCCACCAAATAATGCTTGATCTCTATCACTCTATGCTTAGGTTGCTAAGTGGATGTTGAGCAAAGGTCAAGGAGCAACAATGGCAACCTATGATACACTTCTACTGGCATTTGATATGGACAAAAGGGTAGATGAAGCAGAAACATTATGGAATATGATTTTACATACAAGCACACGGTCTGTCCCAAAACGGCTCTTTTCCAGGATGATTTCATTATATGATCATCATCATGTACCAGAGAAGATAGTTGAGGTAAAGGAAACTCGTCTGCGTGCTTCCTAATTAGTGCAAGTATAATTGGTTGTTCAGTTCCCTACCCTCAGAGCAGCCTGATGCCGTATACAATTCTCTCTTTCTATCTTTTCATAATGGATTTTCTCTACTCTTGAAAGTTCGATGCTGTTTTTGAAGCATGCTCCTTGAAATTTCAGGTGTTCGCAGATATGGAGGAGTTAGGGGTAAAACCCGATGAAGATACAGTCAGAAGAGTCGCCAGAGCCTTCCAAATGTTGGGCCAAGAAGATAAGCATAAACTGGTTCTCCAAAGGTATCAAAGAAAATGGAAATATGTCCATTTCAATGGTGAAAGGGCAAGAGTGAGAAGAGACAAGGAATGAATAAAGCTATTCAAAGAAACACTTATCAAGTGGTATTGGTTAGGGCAAGAGTGAGAAGAGACAAGGAATGAATAAAGCTATTCAAAGAAACACTTATCAAGTGGTATTGGTTAAAGTCTTGATCAGATGCATAGAGTCTTTTCTCTGCAGCGTTTGTTTTTTTTCTATGCCTTGCATTGGCGGTGAAGACTGGTATGTAGTTGGTTGATATTGTACATGTACTGGAACATATTCATGTCGGAGAAAATCAAACTTGCTGTACTTGTATTGATATATCCCTGGTGAGATTGTGTTTTGAATACCAAGATTCTACTCGGCTGATGATATGACACATAACTAGAAGTCAACAAGATTGATCAAATAGTATCCTTATAGCAGTTGGTTTCTTTTGCAAAAGCAAGGGTAGCAAACCATACTACACCTTATAGTGGATGGAGTTTTCCCCGTTATACTGATTTCATTGGGGTTTTTTCATAGGATGCTTGGTTATGGAGGTGTTGTTTCGTTTATGTTTTATTATAGTTGTATCTAAGTTTCATGTGCAGAGACCTTCCTTTCAACTATTAATGGTTTCGAAGTATTCATGTAATCCTTTTCATATAGGTAGATTTTCCTTTCAACTATTTATTATGTATGTATGTACACAATTCTTTTAAGTTTTTTCACATCATTTTGGGAGAAGGGCCGAATTTGCCCATGTAGCATTTAAAAATTAGCAACTTTGTCTACCGTTACACTTTTGACTTAGACCCCTGATTAGCTCCAAACTAGGATGTTTTTTGTATAACTATAGTGTTCAACTAGGATCATTGTCTTATAACTATAGTAGGGTCAATCGCACCTCGAAGAATTTTATAATCAAAGTTAATGGGTAATTTGCATTCTTTTTTTCGGGACGTGCTGAGTCCACCCATTTTAAGCTAGATTATTGTTAAGGGTAAGAGAAAATACAAAATGATTTGCCAACAACAAACATTTGGTCATACCAAAAATATAACAGATGGTAAAATTGAGCAATTTCAGGTAATATAATATGCTAACGGAAACAAAATGACTTCAAAAAGGCCAATCAGTGCAAATAATTCGGAATGGGTCAATGGGCCGACAGAGAGTTGGTCCAAGCCCACATACGAAAGGGGGCATCTTTTATGTTCCTTTTTTGTTTTGATTTTTTTAAGGAATTTTTACCTCCTATAGCAAAGGTTAACACCTTATTTATTTTAAAAAAATACCATTTAAAAAAATTATATTCTATAGATACCTTTTAAGGTTTATAGCAAAATATTTAATTTTGGTTACCTCCTAGCCCTAAGCCACTAAATACGCTAATCAGTTACACTATTTTCTTTCTCTCTCTACTTTGATACATCCCATTCTCTTCCCGCATCCCGTTAAAATTTTCCGTTCTCCTCCTCCTTCCACCGGATTTGTGCAAAGCCCACTTCAGAAATTGCTCCGGCTCCCGCATCCGACGACTGCAACAACTTGAACTTGGTCCAATTGAACAGCCTTGCTCCAATGGGCTATTTGGGAACAAAAATAATCCTGTTGATGTTGATTTTGAATTTGATTTGTTGATGCAAGATGAGTACCAGTGTGATATCTTCTCACTGTTGGCCCCGGAACATGGGCATACTACATAGGCTAATTCTTATGATTTTTTTAATTTTTTTGTGAAAAAATAGGGTCAATATAGTGTTCTAACAATTAACGTTGATATAGCTTTGGCAATAGAGCTTGGATATACTAGATTGGCTAATTCTTCTGATGCTTTCTGAAATTGTTGGGTCAATAATGTATTGACAATTAGCTACAACGTTCAATAAGATTTGTTATGATTTTGCTCTTTTGTGTAGAGCATTTCAATGTATCTCGCTGTATTTCTATGTATTTCATTGTATTCACTATCTTTTTTTTTCATTGTAATTCAATGTATCTCGTTGTATTCCATGTATTTCATTGTATTCAGTTCCTTTTTTCTCATCGTATTTCAATGTATCCCTCTGTATTCTATCTATTTCATTGTATTCATTGTCTCGCTATATGCCATGAATGTATTCATTTATTTTTTTTAATTAATATAATTTATGTATTCAGATGTATTATATAATTTCTCTGAAGATTGCTATATTTTTGGGGTATTTTGTGGTTGAGAATCTTTTTTATAACTGAAAAATACAAAATTTGTGTGTTATAATTGAGTTTGTTGAGTTATATTAGGAGTCTATTATGCTAATTGATTCACTTTCCGTTTTAAAAACAGTGTAATCCCCTATTTCACGCCGTGAATACAGTCGAATATAATAATCTGTCCAGCTGTAATCCCATGTTTCACTCCATGAATACAGTCGAATACACTCGAATACAACAACTGATTAGTTGGACTCCCTGATTCACGCCTATTTTTGCTACTGTATTCATAAATACAATAGCTTAAATACATCAAATACATCTTATAACCACAGAAAAGGTATCTATATTCCGTAATATACCAAATGGTATCTATAGATGGCTAATTACTACTAAAAGATAGTTCTTTATGAAAATTTCTCTTTTTTTAACAGTAGCTCGGACTCGGATTAAAAAACCTTTTCAGTTGCTTCGCTGATCTAACATGGATTTAGAGGGTGTTTGGCTAAGCTTATAAGCTAGTCAAACTAACAGCACTTTTTGACTTATCTACGCGTTTGGTAAAGTTAAATGTGCTTATAAGCCAAGTGCTTATAAGTCAAAAATAAGCCAAAAGCCATAAGCTGGCCACCCCAGCTTATGAATTTTTAACTTATAAGCACTTTAAGTTTGATCAAGATTTTTACTATTTTATCCTTAAAATATTCATTTTTAGAGCAAAACTCCTACATCAATACTCACTACCTCAAGTATTTAACCTAAACCCCCTCCCCCCCTCCTCCCACCTCTTCAAGTCTGCAATTCTCATTGACTATTTAAGATAAGCAAATTCTCTATTCCTTTGCATATTTATATCTAAGTGATTGTGTATTAATATTTATATCTTTGAACTGTATGTAATAAATGAGGACATATCAAATTTTAGGTGTATTGCTTTTAAGTGTTGTGGTGATGAAGACAATATTTGTTTCTCTTAAAATAATTTGTCCTGTTTAGGTTTATTTTTTTACTGAGAAACTTTTGTCAATTTATTACTGTAATTATTATAACTTATGATTATATGCTTATCATAAAATAAATTATATTTATCATAAAAATTATCTTATCTAAGCACTATTGTATTTAAAATAAATTGACAAAAGAATATTTTGTATTTAAATCGATCTGGAATCTAAAATTTTGAAGAAATTACGCCCTTATAAGTGTAAACAGTTTTAAGGTTATTCAAGTCATTTTAACGGAAAAAGAGCTTATCAGTACTTTTTTATCAAATACAGCAGCAACTTATTATCAATTTCAGCACTTGTACCCAAACACGTAACTGCTTATTTGTAAATCAGTTTCAGCACTTAAAATTATTTTTCAGCACCTAATATGCTTATCAGCTAATTCAAGTCAGCTAATCCAAAGGCGCTTTTATTCTGTCGACGTTGGCATATCTCCAGGCGACGTATTTGGAAGGAAAATCTTCGTCGTTATGGGGGAGGGGAGTCAATTACTCAAATGGTCACTCAACTTTCTCAAATTATCTCCTAAAGTCACTTTTCTTTCGTTTGTAACAACAAAGTCACTGAACTATGCCTATTGCACTCAGAAGGTCACTCAACTAGATTTTCAAATTTTGGATTGCCACCCTCTAAATTATAAATATTTATCTTCTTTGTTTTTTTTACTTTTCAATATTATGATTTTTCCTTTTTAATTTATATTATGGGCTTACCTATAGAATAAATAAATATTATTTATAAATTAAAAAAATAAAAAGTATTTAAGCATCTATAATGCTGGAATAACAAAATAATGAGCATAGTAAAAGAATTAATTAGAATAAATCGTTTGTAATAATAATTTTAGTATTAACAACAAATTCAAAAATTTATTTACACAATTCAGAATGAAAGAAAATAAAGGTTGTAAAATATATATTCGGTGCACGTAATATATAATTATTTAAATAAAAGTAGTTTTATAATGTACATTATATATTCTTGAAAATTATGCTCAATTATATTATATTTATTCCATGCACGACTTAACATAGCATATTTTACTCTATACAGATAGTCCCCTTGCTTTCGGATGATATAACTTTGTGTCGTCGATATCTGGTAGAAACATAATAATATAATTGAGCATAATTTTCAAGAATATATAATGTATATTATAAAAATACCTTTATTTAAATAATTATTTTTACATTACGTGCATGGAATATATATTTTACAACCTTTATTTTCTTTCATTCAGAATTGTGTAGATAAATTTTGATTTTTTTTAATACTAAAATTATTATTACTAACAAATTATTCTAATTAATTTTTTTACTATGCTCATTATTTTGTTATTCCAGCATTATATATGCTTAAATACTTTCTATTTTTTTTAATTTATAAATAATATTTATTTATTCTATAGGTAAGTCCATAATATAAATTAAAAAGGGAAAATCATAATATTAAAAAGTTTAAAAAAATAAAAAGAAGATAAATGTTTATAATTTAGAGAGTAAAATAGGTATTGGCAATCCAAAATTTGGAAAATCAAGTTGAGTGACCTTCTGAGTGCAATAGGCATAGTTCAGTGACTTTGTTGTTACAAACGAAAGTAAAGTGACTTTAAGAGAGATAATTTGGGATAGTTGAGTGACTATTTCTGCGGGAGGGCGACTGGTGAAGAAGAGTGTGTTATCTCTGAAAAAAGAAGATCTGATGGATAAGAAAGTATTAGTGAAAGTTGATCTGGACGTTCCGTTGAATGAGGACTTAAGCATCCGTGATGAGACCAGAATCCGAGACGCTCTTCCTACTATTAAGTACTCCATATTATTAGTTGCGGCGCTCGTGTTATTCTCCTCTCCCATCGTGGTTATCCAATGGACAAAGAAAAAGAGTACAGTTTGAAGCCACTGCGCAAAGACTGTCACAACTATTAGAAGTTGAGGTCAACATGGCGGATGATTGCATTGGTCGAGAAGTTGAGGATATGATTTGTAAAATGCCCTCGGGAGGGGTTCTGCTGCTGGAAAATGTGAGATTCAACAGAGGAGAGATGGCGTGTGAGCAAGAGTTTGCAAAGAAGCTGGCGCCTATTGCAAATTATTATGTCAATGATTGCTTTAGGACTTCAAACAAACCACACGCTTCCAACGAAGGGGTTACTCAATACTTGCCAGGAGTTGCTGGACTCCTTATGAAAAAGGAACTTAGGTATCTTTCTGAAGATGTAGCCAATGTAAAGAAGCCATTTCATGCCATTGTTGGTGGTTCAAGGCTTTCAACTAGGATTGGCGTGATAGAGAACCTTTTTGACAACAAGGTTGACGTCATATTCTTTGGCGGAGGTCTGATCTTTACTTTCTTAGCGGCCGCTGGCTACTCTGTTGGAAGCTCACTTGTGGAGGAGAACATGCTTCGTCGAGCAAACCTAATTGTGAGTAAGGCAATTGAAAGAGGTGTACGTCTAGTGTTTCCCGCTGATTATAGCAGAATGGTTTGCTCCTGGTGCTACAACTAAGGTAAAATGATTTTGGCAGTGCTATCTTGTTCTGC